AAAACCGTTTAGTTAACGTGCACAGACTGTAGCACAGAATCGTAATTCTTTTTACAAGCTTTTATTTACTTTTTGTCGGCTTTAAATCTATTTCCTAAATAATCCGAATTGGTAAATAAATAACACTTAGGCTGAGTTGCATCACCTTAACTTTAACCGTAACTATAACCTTAACCAGTGTTTATGTATGGCGTTTGACAGACTTTTGACGTTTGTTAAAGTTAAGGTAAGATGGTACAATCTAGGGTAAGTGATTTACACTCAATGTAACAAAATTCGGGAATCGAGTCCAGGACCTTTTGTCACTGGACCACGGATGCGTATGTATAAGGTATTTTTTTTTTATAAAAACTACGAAGTAATGTGCTACAATACCTAAACTATAAAGATTCGACTAGATATAATATCATGGGTATATTAAACAATACATGAGATGCTCGAACCAAACATGGAAAACAATAAATAATATCGAACCAACAGCAATATTAGGTACATGAATAGATTAAACGCTATTAAATCTATATTAATGACGTCACTCTATCATTATTGGGCGTCCAGTTATATGTAAGGTTTTATTGGGTTTTGTATGTAAATAAATTACTTGTCGCTAAAGCGCACAGTGGCGCCAAATTTTCCGTAAGTACAGGCATTGATTCTTTCGGTTGGAGGGGTTTAAATGGTTTTTTACTTTGTTCGGTTAGTAACTGCAGGTCTAAATTAATCAGATTTATGAAGAACGGGACTTAGTTACCGTAACTGTCATGATTAATTTAGTTGCGGGTCTAATGACAGTTTAACTTTCCCCCGGGACAAACTTGACCATCACTGGTTGGGTTTTTATTGGCGGTCAAGCTGTAGATCCTGGCTATACAGGAGTTGCAGCGGTGGGAACGAGGGGTGGGAATATTCCCATACTGTAATTGAAACTTTTGATTGAGGTTTATTAACTGAAAATTAATGTACAAACTGATACAGAAAAGAGTTTAAAGAATCGGAAAGAAAGTCGGACATCTCATCAAGTAACACTAATGTTACTAAAGATAGTTAAAAGTAACAAACAAGCAACATTGTATCTTAAAATCACGTGAGTGCGGAAAATTTAAAACAACGTGAAAGTTGTGTACTTTACTTTCTTCATAACACTTTATTATTAAACCTGTCGATATTTGTGTCAAAATATTACCTACTTTTATATAAAAAAGCCTTTACTACCAGTTTAAAAACAGGTTACCGATTTATGATTTATTATCAAATTTCTTTTTTCTAAACGCATAGATCTATAAATAACGTTAGTAAGGCACCACCGTTAAAATATGCTAAAAACTTTCCTGTACCTAAAATTAAGAGTCAAAAAAATTTACCAACCTGCTAGCTTAAGAAAACCATGAATGATACTTGACACCCTTTATACGAGTACTAGCTGTGCCCGCGACTTCGTACGCGTGAAAACCCGTTTTCGCAACATTTTTCATTGTTGCTCTGCTCTTATTGAGCGTAGCGTGATGTTGTATAGCCTATAGCCTTCCTCGATAAATGGGCTATCTAACAGATTACAGTATTTCCAGAAATTAGCGCGTTCAAGTAAACAAACAAACAAACAAACTCTTCAGCTTTATAATATTTTTATAGATTATATATTAGTCTCTCAACTCGACCTGTGGTTGACTGGCAGAGAATGCCACCTGGCATTAAGTCCGCCACTGTACAGTTTTTTTTTTGTGCAAAAGTATAAATAAATAAATATACCTACTATTTATATTACACCAGAGTGCCATTTAGGCTATTATAATTTGTGCACTAAGTACACAAATTTTAGTTTATGCCGATATCTTTTCCACATATTTTGTTACTCTATCTGTGGACAACGGGGCTGATTATGCTTTTACCTTAATATGTGTTCTAAGTCTATGTTTTATACTTAATTTATAAGTGTAATTGTTTGTTGTTCCAAAATAAACTATAAAAAAAAAATATATACATGTTACAGTGGCTAAATTGCTAGACAAAAACCTATGCTCGTTTTCACCATCAATCCCTATTTTTTAAGTGACCCCTATGGTGACATATAACAGAAATTTTGTTTTCATAGGGGTTACTTAAAAATTAGGGATTGATGGTGAAAACGGGCATTTGGCTGAGTCGTACCACCTTATTTTTACCATAACTAACTCTAACCTTAACCAATGTTTTTTGTATGGAGTTTGACAGATATAAAGCCTTAAATGTAACTAAACATTCCACTTAATAGATGATCCAACCCTTTGACGGTTATTAATGGATAGATAAAAAGTGCAAGTGATTCCGCCGTGAAGAATATTCGCTGAAGGTCAATGCCACTGACCGCATTACCAAACCAGCGGATCTGAATCGGTTGCCGATTGTTATGTCAATAGTAATTACAGTCAAATCAATTTTATTAAGGAAATCTTGAAAAGTGTAAATTTATAATAAAGTATTTGTTTAGAATTCCAAGTTTTTTGGTTATATTAGTTTGTTGAAACTTCTCTCGTGAGATGATGAACTGGATTTATTGGCTAAAATCTATCATGTCGTATTTTATTCAATGTAGTAATAAACATTATCTACATACCGCACTGACTAGCCAAACAATATTTTAATTCAATTATTTTACAAACATCAATATTTTGAGATTAACGCAAAGACCTCTTATGAACAAAACACTTCATATTTTCTTCATAAGTTTTTGTTTAACATTTTCCCAAACAATTAGTTGAATTTTTTTTTTTAATTCAATAATCCAAAATCTATATGTTCGAATATGTGTAAAAAAAGTATTTAAGTATGTTTATACCCCAGTCTAGTACCCATACTACATACAAGCTTTTCTTAGTTTGGGACTAGAGGCGCAGTGTAAAGTGTCCATGTAGGTATATTAATTTAATTAGGTACAATAAATTATTATAAAAACTCACCAGCACAGCACATAGCACTATCAAAGCCCTCATCGCCATAGCTTCCTCAAGAACTTGAACTTCTTGTTACCACTGCGCTTGAGTCGCCACAGTCTAAAGAGACGCGATGCGCGCGCGCACATCTGAACAACTGAAGAGCTGTGGCGGTGGATAGGGTGTGCGTGCTTCTGGGGGAACGAGGATAATGAGTGTAGGGTGTACATGTTTGGTTTAAACGAGGAGATACTAGGTTTTGTTGGCGACTTTTCACGTTTTCGATGAAACGCAGCCTAACTTGCGGTAGTGACGTTTTTTGTCTGACTCAGACCCAGGGGATTGGGATTGGTTTCCAGTGTGGACAAAATTTACTGCTCGGTTTGGTTGGTGGTAGAGCTTTTTCTAAATCCGCCTAGCTAACTACCAATATCTTATAGCTCGATTGCACCTTCGATTTTCACTAGCCCTTAGGCAAGATGCCGGTTAAGAGCTTCCTCGTTGTGGACAAGTTATATACTCCTGATGAAAAAAGCTATAACTAATTTTTTAAAACATCATGTTAATAGGTATGTCCAGTAGTTTCTGCCTTTCAGCTACAACTACTTGAACCCAATTTTGTAGACATAATATCTACGAATAATTTTAACTTCTTTTATTGTGTGGATAGTAAATCCTCAAGGCTTTTGTAATCTTGGTAGTAGATAATAGATTTTATGAGCTGTTTGGCGCCTGGAATGTTTTATTTCAGTCGGTTTGACTTTTCAGGGAATATAAGTCTAGTTATTTATTATTAATTTTTTTTAAAAAAGATTATTAGCAATTTGTATTGCCCAAATTACTAATAGTCCCATTAGCCCCTCGTGTTAAGCTAAATGAGCTTGTGTTACCAGTGGGCACCACAATAGTCGAGCGGCGGTGGGACTCGAACCCGCATTCCTCGGATCTCGACCTCGATCGGCCACTCCGACCCCTTTACCGTTCGGCTATCGTGGCTATAAAAACATAAATTTGTCGGCGCCGGACACAGATGCTNAACATAAGAAAAGCATGGATGATAGAGATTTATTTTGTTACATTTAAAATTTCCTATACATTTTATTGAAATAAGGTTCTCTTAAAAAAACTGAAATAAACAATCAATTAGTGTTGCGCACATTTCAGGAGCATTTTTAAGTCATAATATTCTTTCGCTATTTTTAAGTAGGCATTTAAAAGAAACATACCTACCTACATAAAATTAAATAACATACTTAATACTCTAAGGTTGAGCTGCACCATCTAACTTTGACCGTGACTATAACGATAACCAGTGCTTTTTGTATGGAGTTTGACAAGTTTTTGACGTTTGTAAAAGTTAAGTAAAATAGTGCAACCCAGTCTAATTGTATCATCATTAATACAACCCTTTGAACGTTGTTAATGGATAGATAAAAAGTGCAAGTGATTCCGCCGTGAAGAATATTCGCTGAAGGTCAATGCCACTGACCGCATTACCAAATCAACGGATCTGAATCGGTTGCCGATTGTTATGTCAATAAAAGTTACAGTCAAATCAATTTTATCAAGGAAATCTTGAAAAGTGTGAATAATAATATTTGTTTAGGATTCTAAGAGATTTTTGGCTATATTATATTTTGTTGAAACTTTGCTCGTGAGATGATGGACTAGATTTATTGGCTAAAATCTATCATGTCGTATTTTATTCAATGTAGTAATAAACATTATCTACATACCGCACTGACTAGCCAAACAATATTTTAATTCAATTATTTTACAAACATCAATATTTTGAGATTACCGTAAAGACCTCTTATGAATAACACTTCATATTTTCTTCATAAGTTTTTGTTTAAAATTTACCCAAACAATTTATTGAAATTCTCAAATAAATACGAATTTTTAAATCATATTACCCAAAATCTATAATATGTTCGAATATGTTTTTAAAAAAGTATTTAAGTATGTTTATATCTCAGTCGTACAGTACCCATACTACATACAAGCTTTGCTTAGTTTGGGACTAGAGGCGCAGTGTAAAGTGTCCATGTAGGTTAATTTAATTAGGTACAATAAATTATTATAAAAACTTACCAGCACAGCACATAGCACTATCAAAGCCCTCATCGCCATAGCTTCCTCAAGAACTTGAACTTCTTGTTGCCACTGCGCTTGAGTCGCCACAGTCTAAACAGACGCGATGCGCGCGCGCACATCTGAACAACTGAAGAGCTGTGGCGGTGGATAGGGTGTGCGTGGTTCTGGGGGAACGAGGATAATGAGTGTAGGGTGTACATGTTTGGTTTATACGAGGAGATACTAGGTTTTGTTGGCGACTTTTCACGTAAATTTCGATGAAACGCAGCCTGACTTACGGGAGTGATGTTTTTTGTCTGACTCAGACCCAGGGGATCGGGATTGGTTTCCAGTGTGGACAAAATTTACTGCTCGGTTTGGTTGGTGGTAGAGCTTATTCTAAATCGGCCTAGCTAACTAACAATAATATCTTACTATCTCAATTTCACCTTCGATTTTCACTAGCCCTAAGGCAAGATGCCGGTTAAGAGCTTCCTCCTTGTGGACAAAAATATATGTATACTCCTGATGAAAAAAGCTGAAACTAATTTTGTAAAACATCATGTTAATAGGTATGTCCAGTGGTTTCTGCCATTCAGCTACAACTACTTGAACCCAATTTTGTAGACATAATATCTACGAATAATTTTAACTTCTTCTATTGTGTGGATAGTAAATAAATAATAAATAAATAAAAGTTTATTTAACAACTAACATATTACATTGCATTGTACATACTTTTCCTAAACCCGTTTAATTAAATCCTCAAGGCTTTTGTAATCTTGGTAGTAGATAGGTAATAGATATGAGCTGCTTGGCGCCTGGAATGTTTTATTTCAGTCGGTTTGTCTTTCAGGGAATATAAGTCTAGTTATTTAATTTAAACGTTTAGTTCATAACAAACAAACTGATGGCCACTCTAGCTGCGCGACCTCTGCGCAGACGCACGCTGCGTGCGCTGCTGCTCAATGAACTATACAGAGTGAACCAACACGTCTCTGGAGGTTTCCTACATTTAAATAAAATAATAAATTAATTTTAACGATCTCTCAATCAAAATAATACTTATTCGAACAAAAAGTTTTGTTGAACTCTTTCATTTTGGTAATCATTACTTTCAAAAGTATACTGAAAATGGGGTTAGTAGTAGTTTCGCACGATTTTTCTTCGCACGAATGTGCGAAACGTCCCTTTTCAATAACATTTTTTTTAGTAAGCATTTCGCCCGGATGTATTAAAAGTATTTAAAATCAAGTGCGAATCGACTCTTTTTTGAACTAGTAGTATGCGATTACTAGTTCTCAAAGGGGTTGATTTGCACCCGTTTTTAATACTTTTGATACATCCGGGCGAAACGCCTACCAAAAAAAAATTATTATTGAAAGGGGACGTTTCGTGATTTCAAAGGAAAATCGTGCAAAACTACTACTAACCCCGAAAATGTTTACCTATTTCTTAAATAGGTACATTTTAAGCATTGTAATTGGATTAAGGAAGGGGAACATTTTTTGGTACTGCATTTTTTTGGTGCTTAAAAACTATGGTTTTCAAGGGGACAAACTCTTGAAATCAACCTGTATAATTATTGCGTAAACTTAACCTACAGAAAATTTACCCAACTTTCTTCGTAATTCAGGAAGGACTCATGACTCACATCGAAATGGTGATGGAAACTCCAAATAACAATAATAATCTGGGGGCACGGCAGTGCCCCCACCAAGTCGAGCAAGAAAGCGGCACGGCCGTACCATCCTTTTCTCGAAGCAATTCAGGCCATTTTCGACCGCCTGTAACTTCGTTGTGGATAAAACTAGAAGGCTGAATTTTCATTAGCTATGCGGGCATTGTAAAGACACGGTATATTTCAAATTTCATTCAATTTGAACCAGTAGTTTAAAAAAAAGAATTATAACGGGTCAAAGTTTCTCAATTTTGTCACTCACTGACTGACTCACCGATCATCAAAATTCTAAGGCACTTCTAGCAGACCTAGAAGCCTCAAATTTGGAATATAAGTAGTGTTTGGTGTATGAATCAAGGAAAATCTAAAATATTTGGGGGCACGGTAGTGCAACCGCCAAGTCGAGTAAAATTTTTCAATTTCGGTCCAGTTTTCTATATACATAACTACTGTCTACAAAATACAAAAAGAAATGAGATCCCATCAAAAACAATACTTGTCAAAAAAACCAAGTCTCGCAACTCAGTTGTTCTACGGTAAAAAGTTGTGAGATCCATGTAATGTAGCTCATACCAAGTCCAGGCCAGGACATCTTTAACATTTTACATAAATTATTGACTTGGCCATCGCACTAAATAATTTAATTTACACGTGTTTTACCGTAGAACAACTGAGTTGCGAGACTTGGTTTTTTTGACAAGTATTGTTTTTGATGGGATTAAATATTTCACCTAAACAAAATAACCTAAAGCATTATCTGTAATACTTTCTGAAGCTAAAAAAGTGAAGTTTATCTAATGGTAGGTTACTCTATTTAATTTATGTACTTAAGATTGCCTGAATAAAATTATTTAAAGACCGAATTTATTCTGAAATTATGCAGTATAACAAATCTTAGACTTTTCTTAGAAAGAGACATCTACATTTTATAAATAACACCACAATACGGGCTCGTACGTGGCTTGTATTTAGCAACGGCGCTATCTCGTAGTTATAAAATTCAGCGCTAGATGGCGTGATCATAAGTAATCCTATGCTAAACGTGGAATAGAAATAAAATATTTTTGTAATTTTAACATGTAGGTATTTTCTAAACGCGAAGCAGTTTTTTTATTATAAATAATTTTATAATTGAGACATAAAAAACGCGTCATATTGACAACAGTTGACAACGATGCTCTATAGATTTATGTCTATGCCTGCCAATTTCATTTCTATGGCAACGGTTTGTTATGGGTTTTGTTGTTTTCTTCATACGTTGTCCTAAAAGCGGAAAATACTTTTTCTATGATCTTTAAAAATGTCTTATAAATATATCAAAGCATGCGATCGCTCTACAAAAACGAACTCTGCAACTACTGCCAAAAACTTCAAGCGGGTGACTCCAAAGAGAGTGGTTTTGTCAAGGAAACTCGGTGATGGTTCAGAGAAGAGCTGTTCTACTGGCATCATAATGACAGGCTGGAATACCAGCTCTAAGCCAAGAAAAACTACCAAGTCTGATGTGAGTATGTCGACAAAATTCACTGGAAGACATTCTTTGGATTATTGTAAGAAGTGCGGAGACGCTGTCTCGACCAACGGCAGTAATGGACATTCCACTCGCCATATGAATTCAGTGAACAGCTTTAAAGAAGCCCAAGAAACCTCTTCGAAATCCCAAGATAACGGCAGCAGGAAGAGCAGGACAAAAACCAGAGAAAATGGTAAAGCTAGCTCAGTAAAACAGTATTACAAGAATGAAAACTTCCAATCGACTGAATCTCTGCACGAGACTGAGAATGATTTTAAGAAAATGTCTTTGGACACGATCAAAGAGGTTCCCGAGACTGATAAGTTTAGATCAATCGATGATAACGTTTTTGAGATATATTCAGATTCAGAAGAAATGGGGTTTTTGGATACAAACGACGCTGAAAATATTGCTACACTGAAGAATTTTAGAGAAGACAATTATTTCGAGTGCCATTCAGCGAAATCGAGAATAAACAGCAAAGGAAGTGCGACCAGCCTTCGAGATCACAAATGCGTGTATCGTTTTTACCTAAACGATCGGCTCTTCCCTGTCCCTCTTAGTTCTGATCACCATAACAACGTGAGGTGTGTAGAATGCCATCTCCCCATGAATTTGAAAGAAGAATTGGATGGTTCTGGTAAAGCCAATGGGACAATACAAGCCAAGGTAAAGATTAACTCAGAAAATGAAGTCCAAGATATGATTTTGTTTCTGCCTGTGAAGGATTCCCTCATCATCAAAGAGAGAAGGAAACAAATAAAGAACGAGGAAGAAGTAATGTACTTCGGCGTTATAAAACTGGATACTTATGGACATTCTGTATTTAAATCGACTTTGCCTACTGATTCTTTAGCTTTGAAGTACCAGAAGGGGTACAAAGAGTATGATGTCAATAAATCTTATAAATATAAAGGAATAGAGCAAGACGACGTCATTGTGATATAATTTTGATTATGAAAATAAATGATACTACTAAGACTTTGGTTTCATGTATCTGAAAGAAACCATGATGGTCCATGACTCCCCTTAAAAAGTACTTCGGTTCATCCACCTTCCGGGAATCAAACCCGTAACCACAGAAGAAGATAGCGTTGTTGTAGTCCTCAAGGCTACAACCATCAGGTCGCTTCTTTACTTATTTTATTACCTAAAAGCTTCATTACTCAACCCTCAATAAGGCTAGCAAGTGTTAATTGTTTATTGCTTTTAGACCTCGAGCAGTGGTTATATTAATAGTCCCATTCCCATAAGGATCAAGAGCCCTATTAATTGAAGACTTGAGTTATTTTTAAGCTATCCGTATATCACCATATGCAACATTCAAGTAATGTTTTTACATTAAGTACCCATTTTAACAAAATAATAGTTTTACTTCCCTTCAGAAAATCACTACAAATTATGTCAATAGATACTACTACTTTGCCTGGCCCATTCCCATTTTATTTGGGGTCGACCCTCCGCGTCATGTCAATAGGTATATATTAAACATAAATTACTACACTTTAAAATAGCCATGAGGTTTTGTAATGTTACAGGTATTTGAAAATAATCATAGTGATGAGCTTTTAGAAAAAACGTAGTGCAACGACAGTCGCCAAACAGTACTACGAAATATTTCCATTTCATATATTGATGTGGTTACTACACATAGTTGGGAAACCGAGTATAAAATATCCACTGAGTCTGACTGGTTTTGTTTTGTTCTTGAATGTTTTAAGAGCCAACAACGAACAGTTTTTTCCAAGTTGGATGAGAATCTCCTGAAGGATGTGATCCCATTGAAAACTATCCTTATAGATGTACAAATTAGTCTTGTTTTAACTCAACTAGGTATCTTCGATCAGTTGCAATCGGCAAAATTACCCCACATCATGTGCGTACAAACATGATGTAAATAATATAGTATTCAGTAAGCTCGCTTTCTTCAACATTAGAGAAGTCACTTTCTCAAGAAGGCAATTTTAAAAAGAGCTCGGTACCTATCAGGAAAATTAAATGGATTTAAAAAATAAATAGTTGCTATTTGATGCTTTGCTTTGTGTTTTCAGGAACAGGCCAAGAGCTTCCTCGTTGTGGATAAAAAAAAAAAAAAAGAACACTTCATTTATGAAGGGATTCGGAATATGGATCTTTGAAAAGTTATTCCTACTGAAAGCAATAAAAAATCTATCGTAACCCTACCAGTGCGGATCAGTAGGATAGTATGGAGTAAGAGGTTCCACATTTCCAATCGGTATCTAAAATTGGAGAAAAAATAACTTTGATTTTTTTATGCAGAACATGGCAAGGAATAGGCTAGTTGCCTAAAAAAATTTTTTTAGTCCGTAATGTTTAATATCAAAAAATATTGGACACGTATATTTTTATTTGTCAATCTAACAAATAATTACATAGTTATGGTGCGTTGAAGTTGCGCACGACGTCACAACGTGCGGCATTTTTAAGCAAGCGTTGACGTCACGGGCCTCTTCTTATGAACTTTGGGGCGCTTTATCTCTTTAAATTTTCATTAGTTTGAAAAAGTGAAAAATACGTGTAGAGTATTTTTTGATAAGTTAACTGACGGACTAATTAAAACTCTTGCTTTTTGACCCAGGCAACATCCCCATTGACCGCAATCGCACTTGATGTGTGAGATGCATTTTAGGATGGTACATTTATCTGCCTTGTAAGTGCTTATTCACTCTCGCCCTGAAATGGCCCATATTATTGTATTTAGAAAAGTCCCTCGCTGTTCGTATTATAAAAGAGGTATCGAATCACTAGTGCGTGCTGGTGGAATATCGACAATGTAGAGATGATACGCTATGCGTTTATAGCGGATAATCCTCCATACAACATGTTTTGGACTCTGAAAAGGCAATATTTATAATGTGCATGATTCAGCATATTTCCACGCCCTCTTTACCTACCTCCATTGCGGTATAGACCCGCAATCGTAGGAGATAAATATGAGGCGCCGGCGCGCGGCTCTCAGTTTGCGCGCGCGCATCGTGTCGACATGATCTCCGCTTGTGTGTGTGTTTTGCTTGTGTGCGGGCTGGCCGCCGCGGATAACAGCTTGCGTAAGTCTATTTTGGTTTTAAAATGAGATTAAGGATGGTAAAAAATTGTAGCTAAAAGCTTTAGGACAATATCAGTATTTTTTAGAATAAGGAATTAGGGCTTGTTCCTGCGGCAATCCAGTTTTGCAGAATCCCGCAAAAAATCCTTTCGAATTTGTAATGAAAATTAAACGGATCAATTTTTTGCGGGACGGTGCAAACGGGCTGATAGCGTGAACGAAAATATTAAAGCACGTATACTAAACGGAATCCTGTAAAAAAACGGGATTTCACAGTTTCACAAGTCCGAGTATACTTGGTTTTTGAAACCTTGGCGGTTTATTCTTAGGGAAATGATATGGAAATATTTCATAAAGTGCTACGAATTTTTGACCTGCCTATTTAGAAATTCATAGCACAAATTGGGAAATTCCAAAAGGATAGGTAATATTAATTAAAATGAGTATTTACATGACAAAAGTGCATGAACTTAAAGCTCATACCTATATTATTTATAATTATATCTTGTGTATTGTATTTCTGTAAAAAAAAATTCAGCACCACTCTTTTCAAATTCAGTTCTCTATTTTCTCCAAGTGGTACCCAAGCTATATTCGGGACATGTGTGCCCTAAAAATCTCCTACATTCTAATAAACAATTTTTTTGATTGTTTATCTATTCTTGTATTATAATTGAAGATCTAGTCTAAGTTTGTAGTCTAGAAAACAAAGCTCAGATGCTAACAAACTTATTAGAACTAGCTAGACAGCTAGATAAACAGTAAGTGGAATTAAAAAAATACAAGTTAGGTAATTAATAATACTACCATCTTACCTCAGTCTGTCGCCATAACAACAATGTTAACAGCATTGTTGTGTTCCGGCAGTTAGAGGTAAGATAGCCAGTTCCTCCGTGGTTGAGGATTCCGGGTGAAGCTCGCTTCCACCTTCGGCCGGATCGTCACTTACCATCAGGTGAGATACAGGCCAAGAGCTTCCTCGTTGTGGATAAAAAAAAATCTGAATTTATAGGGACTATTTTGACTTTAAAATTTCAAAAGGACAAGGACAATTTGATGCGTAGTACCTTATGGTAATGAAGTTTTATGTACTCATGTAATAAGTAGGTATATAAGTTGTATTGGTTGTATATTTTAATAAGCACCTTTGTCTCGAATCACATAAGCACAAAGCAATGTCATTGTCAGCTATTTCTGCAAACTCATAAATAATTTGTAATGGACATCCAAACACAATAATAAATTATGAATATTAGTGCCCGTTTTCATCATCAACCCCTAATTTTTAAGTGACCCCTATGGGTAACACATAACAGGAATAAAATCCTGTTAAGTGTTACCTATAGGGGTCATATAAAAATTAGGGATTAATGGTAAAAACGGTCATAAATCTCTTGTAAAAGAGAGCCAATTGGCTGAAACGAAAAGGGAGCCTCTTTTAACTTTCTGGCTTGGGGAAGTTTTTTAGCAAATTACAGAAGGTCAAGGTCAAATTCAAATGGTTTATTGCATGTCATATAACAAATAATGGTGTTGTAATAAAATACAGGGTCATGCTGCAGATCATGAAAATGACAAGTTGATGATGAAAAGGGTTTTTTAAAATTAGCTTTAACATTTTTATGCAGAACAAGGCAGGTATTAGCCAACAATCGCAACCGATGTTTGGTGAGATGCAGTCTAGGATGGTACATAATTATCTGCCCTCTAAGTGCTTATTCACTCTGAAAAGTCCCGGATTATAGTGTTCGGCAAACAACAGCAGGCAACGAATGGCAGTCCCTAGTTGTTGGAATTATAAAAGAGGTATCTAATCGCTTAGTGCGAGCTGGTGGTTCTGGGTTACTATACAATGGTTACTGACAACTTAAACAATAAGTCCTTCAAACTGGTTTTATGCAGCATGTCCTTTGTCTCTTAAAATTTTCCTCGCAATTAAAGTTATTTATGTTCATTTAGGTGACCCTTAGGAGGAAGATTATTACAGATCAAGCGTAGGTATTTAATATTAGACATCATCTTTACTACCCTGAAATCTGACACCGTGAAGTCGTGATATCAGTATTATTTATTATTTATTACCTAAGAGATGAAATGTATAAGGGTGGTTTTAATATGAAGACTTAACAACTCACTTGGTAAAAGTTTTCATATTACTTTTCTGAAAACCATATCAAGTATTTTCTGAGGAATTTTTCAGGCAGAAGAAAGAGACAGAGTAGAGTAATCTGACAAGGATTCTGTTATTTCAAACGTTTTTGCAACAATAAACAAAAAAAATACGAAAAGTGTGAAAAACTTCAGTGCGACTTAAAGAACTAGATAGATACAAATAATTAATAATTAAGGCAGCCTTTTATTAAGACAACACTTAGTTCTAAGCAATTTTAGTTATAGTAATTCCATGTATGCGTGTTTGTCTTGTTGGTTGTCCTAATAAATAAAGTAAATAAAATGATTCCAGTATTACAAATTAAAATTTTACATATTGTTACTATCATGAGCATTGTTACACTGGGCTCACAATGCTAGTGTCACACTGGATCACCATAAGCAGCATCTGACATGCCATGTTACGTGCCCTCGGATAAACGAATTCCATATTATTGGTTTTTCCCCGTTCGTTCGTTCGTTTCAGCCAAAAGACTGTTTGGCTGCTGGACAAAGCCTTTCTCCAAGGATTTCCACAAAGACCGGTCCTGCGCCGCTCGCATCCAGGCACCTCCCGCGACCTTCACCAGATCGTCGGTCCACCTAGTGGGAGGAACTTTCCTGTCCCAGCGGCCATCAGCTCTGTGAGCTATGTGCCCGTAAACCCGTTTTCCCCGTAAACTGCTATAATGTTCTGATCCACGTAAGACCTGTATAATCAGCTATGTGATAGGACTCACAAT